CATTTTACAACACATGGAAATTTGAAATAAAGAAGCATAAGGTGAATGGCCAGAGACAGATAATTTTCTTTCATATAAATCATCCTTTTGAATAAATATAGATTTCACACTTTAAAAAAGCAGATAATTATGTTTTAAATAGGAAATATGCAGAATGAGGACACCTTATTTAAAATATTAAATATCTCAGAGAAATGAAATAATAATGTGTTCACAAAAAACAGAACATTAATGATAAAATATAATTGATAATCATAAATATGGAATACTTTTATATTTTATTACCATTTCACTTTTTATAATAAATTTTTTTTATTCTTTTATTGTGAAAAGGAACCTTCACACTGGGTATGGTTGTACTTGCCTGTAATACTGGCACTCTAGGAAACTGAGGCAGAAGGACCGAAAGCTTAAGCTCAGTTGTGAAATTTAGTGACTTAATGAGACTTTGTATCAAGAAAAAATAATTTTAAAAAGACTGGGAATGCAGCTCAATGCAAAAAGCCTTGGGTTCCATTACCAGTATTACAAAAGAAAATTAACTATTCCAGTAGCATACAAATAAAAACAGAGAAAAATGTATATGTTTGAAAACAGAATGAATGAAATAAGATACTTCACTGACATACTAAGGATTCTTTTTTACTTAAAAATAAACTAAAAGGGATTAAAATAATAATACACAATTTTTAAAAATAGCAGGAAATTAACACTAGTTAATATATAGCACACTATTATCATTTGTTCAGATTATAAGATTTAGGCATGAAAAAACGATCAAACAATCAAACAATGAAAACACAAACTGTTCTTTTTGATGAACCTACAAATACTAGTTGTATAGTTATCTTGTATATATATATATATATATATTTCACACATATACATATATGTACCTATATACATATACAAGAATATATATATTTTTTCCCTAATTTTTATTCTCCTTTTCTCTATCTGTTTTTCTTTCTTGAGTACCCTCTTTCCCTTTCATTTTGACAATATCTATTTTACATTTTGGAACTTAGTACTCTTTCAGGGTTTTTTTACACTAGGAAGGTAATATGATGTTTATACATGTGAATTTGATGTATTTTCTTATGAGTATTGCCTCAAATTGCATATATTCACCTATAAAAGCATCAAGGTTATTCTTGTTTACACCTGAGTAATATTCCATTGCATAAAAATACCACCCCATTTTTTATCCATTTTGTGATTGATGGACATTTGGGCTCTTTCTAAGATTCAGGTGTTACAAATTATGCTGCTATTCCATGGGTGCACATATTTCATTGTGGTATCATGTTTTCAGTTCTGGGAAAATATCCAGAAGGGGAACTGCTGAATTGCATGGGACCTCTACAAAGGAATCTCCACACTGATTTCCACAGTAATTGCACAAGTCTACACTCCAACCAACAGTGGAAAGTGTTCCTTTTCCCCCAGTTCCCAGACATTTGTTATTGGTTGATTTCTTGATGGCAATCATTCTTTCTCAAGTGAGATGGCATCTGAATGTTGTTTTAATTTGCAAATCTCGAATGACCAGTGATGTTGAACATTTCTCCATCTATTTATTTGTCATTAGTATTTCTTCATTTGAAAAGTGTGTATTTATTTTAGATGCCCATTTTTGGATTGGGTCTTTGAATTTGGAGTGCCCGATGTTTTTCAATTCTTTATATGCTCTAGATATAAATCATTTCTCTGAGGGACAGGTGGCTGATATTTTTTCCCATTCTGTGGGTTTTGTTTTCACTCTTTGATTTCTTTTGATGTGCAAAAGCTTTTTAATAGGATGAGATCTCAATTGTTCATTCTTTGAAATACTTGCATTTTGTTCATGAACTCTTTGCCTGACCCTAAGTCTTCAAGATTTCTACCTAACTTACCTCCCAATAGATTTAGCTTTTCCATTTTAATATTTAGATCTTTAATCTATTTTAACTTTAGGTTACTTCATGGTTGTAGACATAGGTGTAGTTTTAGTCTTCTACATAGTGAGTCTGAGAGGAACTCATCAAGAAGAAGAAGCCAGTGAGCTTTTTGGTAAGTGGCACAGGCACGCCATAAGGGCCCTGGAAGATAGAAGCTAAAAAGTGCTACCTTGAGCCTACTAGTACACAGACAGAAAAAGAACAGACCCCCCACTCCCTAGCAAGCAACTGGTTGGTTCAGAGGACAGGTTGATTTACTAGCAAGTGAGGTTCAAAGGCAACTGAATGCGTGTGTTGTTTCTTGACTTGGAAGCCTGGGGCTGGTGATCTGAGCATGTATAGGAAGGACAATAGTGTATAGTGTGATGAATAAGGGGGATTTCCTTCTGTTTTGTTTTAAAAATCCAATATTGTTCTCACTGTTTTGTTTTGTTACAGTTTATTGATTTGTTTTGCCTTATTAGTGTTGACTTTGTATCCAGCTATGCTGCTGAATTTGCTTAGTAAGTCTAGTAGTCTTTTGATGGAGATTTTGGGGTCTTCTATGTAGAGTATTGTATTATCTCCAAATAATGATAGTTTGATGTCTTCTTACCTTACCTTATTCCTTTTATTTCTCTCTTGTCTAATTGCTCTAGCTAATGTTTCCAACTGTACTGAATAGTAGTGGTGGACATCGTCTTGTTTATGTTTTTAGAGAGAAAGTTTTTTGCTTTCATCAATTTAGTATGATGTTGGCTTTTGTTTGTCACATATGGCTTTTATCAGATTTAGGTAAAGACCATCTGTTCCAATTTTCTGTAGGATTTCTTTTATCAAGAATGAGTGTTGAACTTTATCCAAAGTTTTTCTGCATCCATTGAGAGAATCGTGTGATTTTTGTCTTTGGCTCTGTTCAAGTGGTGTGTTACATTTATTGATTTGCGTGTGTTGAGCAATCCTACATTCCTAGAATGAATTCCAGTTGGTCATAGTGTATAATCTTCCTGATGATTTGCTGCATTGCATTTGCTAGTATTTTATTGAGAATTTTTGAATCAAAGTTCATTAGGAAGATTGGCCAACAGTTCTCCTTTTTGGTTGGGTCTTTTTCTGGTTTTGTTATCAGTGTAATTTTTGCCTCCAGGAATGAGTTAGGGAGAATTGTTTTCTTTTCGATTTCATTAAAGAATTTGAGAAGTATTGTCATTCAGCCTTCTCTAAATTTCTTATAGGATTCTGTTATGAATCTATTGGGAGCTGGGCTCTTCTTTGTTGGTAAGTTTTTAATTACATTCAATTTCAGTAGCTGATATGGGGTTACTCAAAATTTTTATATCATCTTGATTCGTCATTTTTATTTCATACATTTCTAGGAATCTGTCCATTTTTTCTGTGTTTTTCCAGTCTTTGCAAGTAAACATTTTCAAAATAGGTATTGGAGGTGTTGAATTGTCATTTCATGGTTACTTATTATTTTTAAGAGTTCTTCCCTTTTATGATCGTGGGCTGTGAACTAACTTCAAGATCTGAAAGTCTATTTTCAGTTGCATTCAAATGCGTTCAATGGAATTTTTAATTTCCTGGATATCTTTCTTAATTTATTTCATACATTCTATTTCTTTCCTATATTGTTCCATCAAAGTTTCCATCATTTCCCCATGCTCTTATACTTTCTTTGTCTATGTCATCTATAGCTATACTCAGCAACTCTTTCATTAATGTTTTCATTTTCTTTCTTTACTTGAGAAATTATTTGTAATCCAATTTCCTCTATTGCCTCGTGGATTTCTTTATTCTACTTGCTATCTCTTCAGAAATTTCAGATGTGTGACTTACAGTGTCCTCTATTTCAGTCTCCTCTACTCGTTCCAGATGGGTTGTGCATTATACTTTGAATTTTGCTTTTTTGTTGTATTGTTTCCACCTATTGGTTAATAGTTTGGTCTTTTCGATCCAACTAGTATCTATTGTCCATTATGTGTATGTAAACAGCCTACTGTGTGGCGGACATTCGCCCAGTTGCTGGGTTCTATAGTGTAAGGAAAAAGCCAGTTCTCTAATTCCTTCAGTGGGTCATTTGTATGAATCTTGTATTCTTCCAGGGCTGACTAGCCTGGGAGTACTGATGTTTACCAACCCTTACCTCACATATTGCTACTGCAAATTCAGACTGTTCCAGGCCACCAGATCCTCCTTTTTATGGTATACTCCCCAGCCAGGACCCTACTGCATCACTGAACAGCTTTCAGGCCCAGTAGGATTTTCTCGGTGGTGGAATTTTGCTGGCATTCTCACCAGCCCACGCAGTATTCACTCTGTGGACTCACACGTGCTCTGCCAGCTTGCCAAGTTCCTTGGGGGTGGGGTGAGGGGTTGCCAAGGCTCCTATCAGCCCACTGAGGTACTGAAAGTGGTGGAAGAGGTTGCTGATGGTCCTCTGGGCTGCTGAGGTTATCTGGGTGAGGGTGAGGAGTGATCAACACCCCCCTGGGCTGCTGAGGTCATCTGGCTCCGAGGCTCCTTCTCATCGGCTAGACTAGTCCGGGTGTGGAGGAAGGGTGATGTTCTCTCAGAACGTTGCCGTGTGACAGAAGAGCAAATTAAATCTGCTTGAATCTTATAGCTTAGCATAACATAAGGACGATAAATCAAATTGTTTTTTAACTGTTTAAAACAGAAAAATCCTAAATGTCGATGCAGAAAATCATATGGCTCCATTCCAGGTTGATGCTGCCAGAAGACTTGTTCCATCAAGGACAGCTCAAACAAAGCGAATAGGTAAATAAATAAGTAAACAAACAAATGGAAGGCAGATATGAAAGATAGTCAGTTGGTCTGGCATTGATCAGAAACTACCACAAAAATGTTGTCAATCACAACCCTCCAAATATTAAAAGTGTTCTATACAGGTTATAAAATACACATCATAGAGAATAAATCTTAAAGTATACTTGCTTTAAAAGGGGCAGTATGTTCTAAATAAGAGTCCACAGTATTCAAGAGTCAATGGAATTTAAATGTTATACAATGAAATGCATAAATTCTGTAGGAGAAGACCAAAAGTAAAGGGAGAGGTACCTTTGGCATCAGGTAACAAGAATTAACAAGAAGAATTTCACAGTCCTGGAAAACACAACATACATAGAAATGATCCCTGAAAGTATAGCCTTGAAAAACACAACAAATACATAAAACCAAAAGCTACAACCATATCCTAGACAAAACAAACAAACAAACAGAAATTATCTGAACTTTGTATACCTACAGAAGGCAATATCACTAAATTGAATTACTTGAAATAGATCAAAATAATAAAAGTGAAAAATAAGAAAAAATATCTTCATTCACAATAATTACAAGAATTGAGGGAATAGCATTTTACTTAACAAGAAATTAATCTTCTCAATGTACTATAAATCAATAATTCAGAGAAAAATATATTTGAACATGTCTTTATTGTATGAAACTAAAACATTAAACGTTACAAATTACAAGTAAAAATAGATAAACGTTTAAAAGATTTGAACAAACTTAGCAATGACATATAAACAAAATAACCTTAGAGGTAAAAAAATTAGAAGGCCAAAATAAAAGACTCAAGTGATAATTTTATAGTAGGCATTACACAAAAGAAGAAAAATAAACAGCAGAAAGAAAATGACATAGCAAAAGGAAAAAAAGTGATCTCAGAAAGTAGAATAGAATTACAAAGAAAAGTAATATTGAGAGTAGAGAAATTCAAGTGTAATATTTCCAGTATTAGAGTTCTTGAAAAAGTAAACTGTAACAGTGAAAAACAGCTATAATGTAAAACTACAGCCTGAGAAAGCTTTTTAAAAGTGGATGAGCTAAGTCTAACACTAAAAAGAATCACAAGGAATTTAAAAAGTCAATTCTCTTTTTTTAAAATTTTATTTAATGGGGAAAAAAAACAAAACAGTAAAAGGGTACAAGTAATACAGAATTTCAAAAAAATAAACAGTAAGAAATCACTAATTAATAGATTACTTATTGTCATCTTAGAAATAGTTGTTGAAGTTCAAAATTAAAGCATACAAAGTAGGCATTCAAACAGTGAGACTGCAAAAAGTTGTGTTCAATGATCCAACAAAAACTTAGTAATATGTTCATCTGTCTTACACACCTAAACATACTTGCAGTTGTATCCTTTAGAGCACTTTCTTTCCCTCTCTTTTTTACAATAACATTTACACATTTTGGGCTTTATTACTCCCACAGTTCTTATTACTTTTTTTTTTTTTTTGGAAGAGAATAAAACCAAATGTGATAAAACAAAGCAGTCAGTCAAAACAAAGAATGGACGTAGTGCATGATGTAAAAACAATACAAGGTAATCAACAATGGTTACCATAATGCCTCTTGCTACCTTAAAAGAAATGCCTATATCATCAGGTATAATAAAATTGAACAAAACAGTACAGAACAAAACCAATAAAAGATAAACATTGGAGATATTACAGGACTTCAAAAGAAGATAATAGTCAAACCAGAATGCGCATCATAGTGAATCTTATTGCCTTCAAAGTAGTTGCTATAAGCTCAAACTTGATATTATCAAACAAAACAGAATTGAGTAATATGATTCAAAACCAGATGGTAAGAGCAATATAGGGCTTCAAATCGAGTTAATAGGAAATCAAAAAAAGTTACTATAATATATCCTGCTAATTTAAAAAAAATTCCCTTAATTAAAAAATAATAAAAAAATAAATTTTTAAAAAGGGAGATTGGAATAAAAAAGGACATAACAACATAACAATACAGGTGTGAGCAAAACAATTTAAGTAAGGTAGTGTTTCACCACAAGATAACCCGACTTAATAGTAGTTCCCTAGTGTCTCTTTCCTTGAAATATTTGAGTATAACTTTGTATACTATAGCATCAAACACATCAAGAAAGTGTGAAACCATACAAGATGATGCAAGTATTACAGGGTATTTAGAATGAGCTAACAGAAAATGAACAACGGTTTCTATATTATCTCTTTGCCTATAAAAAATTGTGTTTATACTATCACATATAATAAAATCAAATAAGATACAATAATATAAAACTCGTGGAGACAGAAGAACAACATTTTGATGGGACTTCAAAACAAGATGATATTAAATAAGCACTAGCTATTATGATGTCTTTTTTTCTTCAAAATAGCTATTTATACCATCACAGACAATATATCAAACAGCCTGGAATAAAACCATTCCATTAATCATTGAAAATTAATAAGGTTTCAAAGTCACATAATAGGGAATCATGAATATCACATACTTTTATGTATTTTTATCATTTCTTACACTAGGTAAACTATTAGGTATTCATACATGTGAGTTTGATTTATTTCACTTATGAGTATGGTCTCAAGCTGCACCCATTTATTTATAAATATCTCTATGTGATCATCTTTATAGCTGAGTAGTACTCCATTGTATAAAAATACCACAACTTTTTTATCCATTCCTCAGCTGATGGACACTTAGGTTGTTTCCAAGATCTGGCGATTACAAATTGTGCTGCCATAAACATAGGTGCACATATACCACTGTGGTATGATGCTTTCAGTTCTTCTGGGAATATGCCTTGAAAGTAGAATAGCTTGAACAAAAGACAAGGCAGGAAGCATCACAATCCCTGACTTGAAGTTATACCACAAAGCAACAGTAGTAAAATCAACATGGTACTGGAATCAAAACAGAGCTGAAGATCAATGCAATAAATTAGAAGCTACAACCACAACTACAAACACACTCAACCACCTTATCTTTGATAAAGGGGCCAAACAGGTTCACTGGAAGAACGACAGTCTCTTTAATAAATGATGTTGGAAATACTGGCTCTCCATATGCTGAAAACTAAAACTAGACCCATGCCTATCACCATGTACTAAATTAAAGTCTAAATGGATCAAAGATCTGAATATTAAAACCAAAGCACTAAATCTATTAGAAGACAAATTGGGAAAAACCTTGAAAACATGGGATAGGTAGAGAAATCATGAACAGGACTCAAACTACACAGGAAATACTTCCCAGAATCAATAACTGGGATTACCTCTTATTAAAAAATTTCTGCATGTCAAAAGAAATCTCCAGCATAGTGAAAAGAAAACCCACAAACTGGGAAAAAAAAATCTTAGTGAACTCTCCCTCAGACAAAGGACTTCTGTCTAAAACATATAAAGAATTTTTTTAAAAAAATCAGACCCCCAGAATTCAAAGATCCAATCCAAAATGGGCATCTGAGATGAATACGCACTTCTCAGATGAAGAAATACAAATAAATACATGAAAAAAATGTTCATCATCATTACTCATTAGGGAAATGCAAATTAAAACCACACTGAGATTCCATCTCACTTCTGAAACAATGGCCAGAATCAAGAAAACCACCAACAACAAATGCTGGAGAGGCCGTGGGGATAAAGGAACTCTCCTGCACTGTTGGTGGGAATGTAGACCGGTACAACCATTGTGGAGGTCAGTCTGGAGATTTCTCAAAAAGCTGGGATTGGAAGTCCCATTTGTTCCAAAAAGTCACTTCTCAAATGAAAGAATTCTCAATGCTGAAAGCTGTAATCATTTTAATTAAAATCAACATATGAAATTATACATATAAATCTATACCGATATATGATAATGACTAAGTAAACAATTGTAGAGAATGTTATCCTTATGCAGAACTTAATTTATATACATGTTTTTTCCATGAAATGAGCATAACTCCCCCCCTCCGAAGGCTTACATTGTGAATTCCTTCAAAGAGCATAGTAAAAATGATGAAACAATATCAGTCACTTTATGTTAGGAAAACTGAGCAAAAGGATCAAGTTTTCTGTCAGGGGATATGTCATGTTTATGATAAATAACCTTGATATGATATCATGTAGTTGATATTCTTCTCTATGGCTCTCATCTCCAAATATATCACTCTAAGTAAGGGAAAAACATCAGAAAAATTCTAAGTGATACTGAAAACCTATAGTGATAATCTGATATTGGCAGAACAAACAAACAATTTATGAATCAATAAAAAAGAAGAGAAGATACAGAATCAACTCCAAGCTCCAGGGGTATAGCTCAGTGCCACAAGCACCTGCCCAGCAACCACAAGGTGCTGAGTTTGATTCTCGGCACAAAACAGATTAAATAAATAAATAAATAAAATTAAAAAAAGAAGAAGGAAAGAAAAAATACAAACAATTCGAGGAACATCTAGTTCTACTATCTGGTGAAAAGGCCAGATTATTTCACTGAAGGAAACAAAGCCTCTTCAACAACGGGTACTTGGAAAACTGGTTATCTGTGTGCCAAAGGTTGAATTTAGACCAATATTTCTCAGCAAATGAAAAACTAAAATCAAATTTTATCAAATCAGAATGCAAACAGTCTGCTGGGAGACAATATAGGTAAAGGTCCTTCAAGAAGTAGATGTAGGTGTAAGCTTTCTGAATGAAATCTTGATTGCATAAGAAATAATACCAAGAATCAACAAATGGGATCCCATTAAATTAAAAAGCTTTTGCACCACGCAGGAAACCATCAATCAAGTGTAAGACAACCTACACAATTTGAAAAGAAATTATTGAAAGCTACTCTTCAGATAAAGGGCTAAACATCTAGAAGAGTGATGCCAAAACTTTTACAGACTATTCCTAAACTGCAAGCCAAAACCCACTTATTTATTGCAAAGTGCAACATTGCAATTAAAACTGAATAGTGAAGTTTTGGTTTAGGAAAAAACAGCTCATACATTAACATCTTTTGTGTTAAAAGAAAAATAATAGTTTAAAAGACTAACAATAGCATTAATTTGCATAATTAATGTGATCTTTGCTGTTGTATGCATGCCTATGATCTGTCAAATGTTGGCTGATACTTCATTGGTTTGAGACCAACACATCCAGCAATGAGGTCACCCTTTAATCTGTTTTATCAGATTTGATACAATTCAGAGCTGAAAATAGCCACTTACAAGCATAAGATGACCTAAACCAACCAAGAAAAGCAACCCCAGTGTTTTTATTGACTTAAAATTAGAATTCAACATTTTAAGGATTTCATTTTTAGAACTACCAACTTTGAAATCTTTGTTATAGTTTAGCACT